GAACCAGTGGACAACTGAAACAGTGGACAACTGAACCAGTGGTCAACTGAACCAGTTTTTCCTAATTTTAGGTCACCGATATCAAAATTTCGAGATTAATTTTTACACATGCTGTTGTTCCTCAATGGCTTTGCTGCAACGTTAGTACGAAGTAATAAGGCTCGCCTGCCCGTCCAATTACTTAACTGCTGGTGTTCCCAAGGCCATCTATGGAAGGTACAGTCACTCCCCCTCCCCCGACCAATCAGAGACAGATCCTCAGTGACGTCACCCCTGATGCTCGCGAGGGGTACTCCATTCCTTTGCAACGTAAAAATGACGAACTTCATTTGCAGATTATTGATGGTACTCTACACATACCTCTCCACCAATGATGTCAATGGAAAGCCCAACTCATTTTCTAGTGACAAAAAAGAGGAGCAATATGCTAAGAAATGGCCGGTTTTGAAGATATAGACGATTCAAAAACCCTCTGCAGTAGCAGGAAAGCAGCGTAAAAACACATCGAGCTAATATTTTTACTATGAATAAATCATTTTTCAGTAACTTTTTAGATAAGGTATCGATTCATTTAACAACTTAATTACAATATTTTTTATTATCCGTAACTTTATTTCAAAATAATATTTTCCAAAATGGCAGCTGTTGGCAAGTAGCTTGGAAGTGATTGTGGCGCACCACGCCATTATTGTCCTGAGGCCCCCTTAGGACGTCATCAAAGGGGGAGTGACATGGGCCTGGTTGTTCCTATCAATCGCTGAAGTTCTTAGGTGATCGTTCAGTCAGTGTAGGTATGCCGAGCATTCTGACTTTTTTCTGAGACGAGGTCAATTCGCCGGATCTATTGGTCTTCTAGATATGCGGGGTACGGTTTTGGGTTAATAGCTTATCAAAATAATGGCTGCAAAGCCGCGATTTTGGCATCATCGTGTTTGCCTAGCTCAGGCGCGTCGAATGGTATACTTTTTGTTCGGACGAGGTTATCTTAAAGTGTTGACCTCGGGTCAAAGTCAGGTCAGAGCCCTTGAAGTGACGAAAATGGTCGAAAGTCATATCGCATGTCATATCCCGTCAGTTGCTGTGATATTCCGCCACCCCCGTTTGCTTGGGGGGGGGGGGGGTGTTATTCACTGGTTCAGTTGTCCCTGGTTCAGTTGTCCCTGGTTCAGCTGTCCCTGGTTCAGTTGTCACTGGTTCAGTTGTTCTGGTTCAGTTGTCACCGGTTCAGTTGTCATGGAACCGCTCGTATATAGGCCGTATACAAAGCCATGTAGAAGCGTTTTTCACATTCATTATTCGAGAATAAACTGTGCCGAAGAAATATTGCTAACATGCCTGTGAGTATCGGAATCGAACATATTCTTATTAGAAATTCTTCTTCTTTTCCTACAGCAACAAAAATATTTTCACCATTACAGACCCATTGGATTCATAGTTGCCCGTCTTACCCCAAAAATCAACTGGGGCCCTGTGCAGTGGCGGCGGAAGGTAATTTTGGATGGTGGTGCAAAGTTTTCTCAAGGGGCCCCCATAGGGCCCCTCATACGTTCCGACATCGAGACTCTCAGAGGCCGGCGACGGGGCACCAAGAGCAGATAAATTGCCTCAACAAGCCGACATGGGGCCTGAGAATCAGTGTGGAATTCCAGGAGCCTGCGTGAGCTCTCGGAGACATTCGTATTTCGTAAGGTCCACAAAGGTCGTTGGGTCCTCTGAATCTGAACTCTGCGGGGCCCTCAGAGGCCAGCATGTCTTCTGGCACCTGCCTGCGTTGAGTTGAGACCCTCCGAGGCCGTCGTAGGGTTCTTCAGAGGCCAGCGTTGGCCCTTGAAGCCTTCGTTAGGCCTTAGAAGCCGTCAAGAGGGCCCTCAGAGGTCAGCATGACCCCTGGAGCCTGCCTGCGTCGAGGCCCTCGGACGCCGTCGTGGGGCCCTCAGACACCAGCGTGGGCCTTTGGAGCTTGCGTTGGGTCTTAGAGACCATTGTTAGGGCCCAGAGAGGTCGTCGTCAGGGCCCTCAGCCCTTCAGGAACCGTCCTGGGGTCCTCAGAAGTTGTTGTGAGGGCCCCTAGAAGCCTTCGAGAGGATCATCAGAGGTCTTCATGAGGGTCCTTGGCCATAGTGAGGGTCTTCATGGGACCTCAGATACCTTTGCAGGGCTCTCAGAAGCCTTGGTAAGACCGCTAGAGGCCATCGTTAGGGCCCTCAATAGACCGTTGCAGGGCCCTCAGATGCCAGCATAGCCCCTGCAGCCTGGTTGTGTTGGGGCCCTCAGAGGCCGTCGCTGGGCCGTCTGAAGCCAAATGGGCCCTCAGACTTGAGTTGGGTCTAGGGTCGTCACAAGGGTCCTCAGAGACCGTCGTAGAGGCCCTCAGAGGCCAGCGGGGCCCCTGGAGTCCTGTGGGACCCTCAGCGGTCGTCATGAGGGCCCTTAGTAGGCGTTATAGGGCCCCAGGGGACAGAGGTCGTCGTGAGAGTCCTCACAGATCATCGTAAGGGCCCTCAGAGGCCGTCATAGGGGCCCTCAGAGGCCAGCGTGGCCCTTGGAGTCTCCTTGGGGCCCTGGAGTCTCTGTGGGACCCTCAGTGGTCGTCATGAGGACGCTTAGTGGCCGTTGTAGGGCCCCAGGGGACAGAGGTCGTCGTGGGAGCCTTCAGAGATCGTCATAAAAGGGCCCTCTGAGGCCGTCGTGGGGCCCTCAGATGCCGCATGGAGAACCAAACGCGGCTCGGGACACTTCTAGCCGGTGTGGGGGCCCCAAAGACTAGCATGGGGCGCTCCTGACCATAATGGGATATCCCGGATGATTCCACATCAGTGTTTGTTTTCCGATCACTGGTTTTCAGGAGATGTTTTGGATGGTGCGACGGGCCCCTTGTACGGATTTTGGGGGTGCAAAAAGATATGTTTGCACCCCCATATTTTTCGATAGGGATGCAGCTGCACCCTCTGCACCCCATATTCCGCCGCCACTGGCCATGTGCCTAGACTTTTCGGAGAACTGAACCCCGTCCGACCGGGCCCCTTGCGTAGATTTTTTGGACTTAGAACTGGACCGCGTCCACCAGGGGCCCGGGCCCCCGGGTGGTCTCGGTAGGGGCCCGCCCGTCAGACCAGGCCCTTGTGACTGAGGTTTTACTAGAATTGAACTGATCCCTAGACCCTATCCCAATTTGCCCCTCTGATAAGAGTTTGATACATCCGCGTCCCTTTCGAGGACGCCTAAAGACCACGAATTTGTTAGAATAGAATTGGCCCCTGTTAACTAGGTTAGTGTCAAGGCATCTCTAAAAACCAGCCACCCCGTTTGACCAGGCCTTTGCATTATTACATTTTTCCGATCCGTGCCCTGTTTCAAGCGGATCCCTTTTCCTCGCAATGTCTTAGAGCCAGGCCCTTTCAGTGCCTAGGACCCTAGACCTGAGGGTCTCAGGCCCATCCACCCGGGGCCCGGGCCCCGTCCACCCGGGGGCTCGGACCTTATTCACCCGGGACCTGGGCCCGTTCACCCGGGGGCCCCGTCCAGCCGGGAGCCCAGGCCCATCCACCCAGGGGTCCGAGCCCCGTCCAACCAGGGGTCCGGGCCCATCCACCCGGAGCCTGGGCCCTGTCCACCCGGGGGCCCGGGCCTCATTCACCCTTGGCCCGGGCCCCGTCCACCTGGGGGTCCGGGCATTATTCATCCGGGGTCCGGGCCCCGTTCACCTGGAGGCCCGAGCCCCGTCCACCCGGGGGGCCTGGGCCCCATCCAGTCGGGAGCCCGGGCTCATCCAGCCGGGTCCCGTCCACCCGGGGGCCCGGGCTCTGTCCTGCTGGGGCCCGGGCCCATCCACCCGATACCCAGGCCCTGTCCACCTGGGGTACCGGGCCCCTCACCTACGTCCCAGTAGGTATGTATCGAAGCGGGCTCGGATTCGATTAGGCCCTCTCTCTCTCTCTCTCTCTCTCTCTCTCTCTCTCTCTCTCTCTCTCTCTCTCTCGCGATGCATACTTTTTCATCATTGATAGCTCATGTTATGTTCGTGATTCACGGTTCGAGTGAGAGAGAGCTTAAGAGAAACGCGATTTATTTACTGCCGGTGCGAATGGGCCGAGAGTCCTCCAAAAACTAAACAAGTATGGCGAGCGCCACGCCTAGTCGCCCGCGCCAGTCATGCCGCTTGGCGCGCACGATCAGCTGAGCGTCGGCAGGGGCGCTCCCAGGCACACAGAGGTGGGGCCGCAGAGGCGGTCCAAGTACACACCCCCTATACCCGAACACAACAGCTCAGACCCGAGCGAGCCCCTGACAGAAATTTCGGGGGGTCAGGTCAGAAAATTTTCATCTTGGGAAACTTAACCCTCGATGGGGTAATGGGTAACTTTTGTCCCACCATTATTTTTGGGTTTTCATGGGCTTTCATATGATACCCATATTTGGGAATGCGTGCAATACACATGCCAGAAATTCGTGGGTATAAATTTCCAAGGGCATTTTTACCCCATATATCTCTTTTTTATTCAGACCTCCCTCCAACGGGGTATTGGCTCCCAATTACAGGAGGGCTCCTGCTCCTCCCGGTCCTGCTCCTCCCGGTATGTTCAAATTACCTCACGGCGGGGCAGTTTGAACACACCGTGACTTGGTGAAGAAGTGAGCCTATGCTAGCTCGGCTCGTCCAAAAATGAGGCTTACGTGGTGAAAGCAAGTGATATTTGCGCTACTGAAACAGTTTGCCTTCATCTGGAATTTGAAGTTGAACTGGGCTTTGGCACGACAGAGAAAACGTAAAATATGTTCAAATTACCCCGCCCGGTGTCTATGGTTTAGTTTAAAATCTATGCCAAGCTTCGTCGAGATCGGCCGCTTTTTGCGTGAGTTAGTGGCGAAAAACCGATAGGGTCCGTTGGATACCCCTGCCGGCAGACGACCGCCCGTGGACCGTCTGTGGACCGTCTGTGGACTGTGGACCGCCCGTGGACCGTCTGTGGACCGTCTGTGGACTGTCTGTGGACCGTGGACCGTCTGTGGTCCGTCTGTGGACCGTCTGTGGAGTGTGGACCGTCTGTGGACCGCTCGGTCCGTGTGTCGCAGCCGGCGTGGCTCGCTGCTATACACACAGTGTGGCTGGCTGCTATACACACAGGCGGGCGGTGTTCCGGCGCGGCGCCGCGGTGACCGAGGGGGACAGTAAACAGTGGGCCGCGGCGTGCGGGGGCGCCTGCTGTGCCCACACCACCGGCGGTGGGTGACGCGCGCCGCCCCGCTGCCGCCCGCTGACGCTCCTCAGAAGTGGGCGATGCGGCGTCGGTGACGGCGCTGGTGCCAGCCGCGCGGACAGTGCAGAGGTGGCCGGTGGTGCCGGTCTGCAGTGCAGAGGTGGCCGGTGGTGCCGGTCTGCAGTGCAGTGGTGCCGGTGGTGCCGGTCGACAATGGAGCCGAGGCCGGCTGGTGACTTCACCATGCGTCCAGTGGCCGCGCTGCTGGTGACAGCGCTGATGTCAAGCCAGCTGCGCTCCGCGCTGGGTGAGTACTGCAGCGCTGCAGTGGGACCGGCACTGCGCACCGGGTACTGCAGTGGGACTGGCTGCGTACCGGGTACTGCAGCGCATTACAGAAACGTTTTTAACTAAAACACGAAGCTGTTCGATCCTCGCGTTTGACGATACATCTTGCCGTTAAATTGACCTGTTTTGACGAAACACGTAGGGGGCAGGGGAAGTGGGGGTAACCCCGCCATGTGGGGGAACCCCGCCATAACCGATATTGGCGAGAATATAAACCAAACAAATAACAATGACATCGGCGTCATTTTGTCGTCACCATACTACGCACGACGCGGGGGGTGGGGGAGGTGCGACACTTCTGATCATGAGTTGAAGGAAGTTGCAGATACACGCTGGTAAAATTGTCTTCCGTTATAGAAACTCCGAGGCTTGAAGCAGCATACCGTATTATACCAGCGTTTTGATGGATTAGAAATAACTAAATCAGTTTTGTGAAATGCGGAATCATGCGCTATGACATCCCTGCTGCGTGGCGCCGTTGCTGGTAGGCATGGGTGGAGAATGTGGTATGGCAGGTATGGCATGTGCCACACCAACTTAAAAAATGGAATGGCAATGCCATACCAACTTTTCAGGGTAAAACCTATGATTAGGATTACAGCTGGTAAAAATTCAAAATATGAGGTAAAAAAGCATTGACATGAACAAGGAGTTTCAGGGAGCAAGACTGAGACAAGTAATTCACTGCTTACTTGATTTAATTAAGGATGCACAACCTCAATGCGTTTTGATATTTTGTTCTTTACCATTCACAATATTTCATCTCAATTTTGACGCATAGGTATATGAAACAGTCATGTAGATTGTAGATGTATAGAAAATGCACTGTTATTCTCAGTATGTGCCCAGATTTTCCTTATGAGTCAACGTTTCTACTATACGAGTAAAGCATTGTATGAAGCAGCTGGCGCCATACCAACTTTGAAGACAATTCTCCACCCATGCTGGTAGGTATCAGTTTGTCATGGTCACGTGGTCTTTGTAATATGGGACTCGGGTAAGCCCGTCCACGGTTCGTCGGAAAGTCATCTCATCCACAAAAGAAACGAAATATACCATCCTAAGGCTGGCGTCATGCTGACGTTGAACTGATTCCAAAAAATGCAATTTTTATCGAAATCGTACGATGACCTTTTTCAAAAACCTCGTTGTTATTAAAAAAAACTTCATAATTTTGTAATCAATTTTTTTAGTCAATGATATTCTTGAAATCATAGGCATGTTGTTTCGTTTTCCAGTGAAAGCTGGATGCCGAAGGGACAATATGCAGCAATAAAATAGTCTCCAATATTAATATGCGCCTCTCACAGCCGGCAACAGGGCGCGATCACACAACTGAGCGTCACGATGGATCAAAGTCAGCCACACAGAAGCGTGAAATGACCCTTATCGACTCGCAGACCCGGCGCTCTCGGCCCGCCTGACCAGCCACGGAAGAAACGTTCGAGTCTCGTCCTGCTAAACAAGTGTTATACATATTTGTTTAACGATCCATATCGCTATCAAAGTTATTCAGGATGCCTGCGAAGAAATGACTATAAGTCCAAATTTCCGGTGTGCAGGGTCATTTTCAAGGGCACGTGGTTCTGGATTTTTCCGGACACTTTGCGACATAGGGGAGGTTGGGAATGGGGTAATTTGGCCGGTGGTGTAAATTGGCCGCCCCCACCTGTACAATATCTGATAAAAGTGAATGAAATAACTCTAGTCTCTTTTCATTTGTCATGGGTAGAACTAACTCGAGGACAAATGTCAAAACTTCCCCCCCTCCTCATAGTTTTCTTCAAAACAACTAAAACGTGAATTTCATTAGAAAATGGCAACTTTTACTTCCGCTTAAAAAGTTGTATAACATGTAGTATTTGGGCTGTAAAAGAATTCCGACATTATACCGCCATTCTGAGGGATGTTCAGCGGCTCCAAAAGCGATTTTAATGAAAATTGATTGATTACGCTGCGCGTAATGCTGTCCCTCTAGTTAAGTAGCTAATAGCTTACAATTTAAACAATAAACAACATTAGTTTGAGTACAATCCCCTGTAAATCCTGACGCGCACGTGCTGCATCTCCGTCCCCCCGGACACTGAGGTATTGAAAGTGACGATCTGATTAGCATGTTTCTCATGGTTATTTGGGGTTCTTCCAATGTTGAAGCCGGAATTCCTTACCTTACTCTGAATTTTGCACAGAAGCTACTCATCAACGTATTGCAGAGACAAGAACCGTCCTTGAATTTCTTTTGACTTATGCGATCAGCACGTTTTTGTCTCCCTTCACGCCTGACGTCTTCCAATAGCCTTTGAAGAATTCTCTTTGGATACCCGTTCTTAACCCTATTAGTGGCAGGCTCCTGGCTACCCCATATTAGTGGCAGGGGGGGGGGGGCTGTTTACGACCCCCCCTTGATATCTCGAGATCTAACCGGCCGATTTTCAAAATTCAAACGGCATTCGATTTGGCTCAACGAGAGCTACATTTCTAAATAAAATAAAATTAAAAAATGTCAATAGGGGGGTAGAGGGGGGTAAAAACGGGCAAATTGCAGATACATTTTAGACTGTTTATCACGGCCAGGTTTCTGAACCAATCTTAACGCAACTTTTGCCGATCGATAGAGAATGAACCAGGAATTCACATGGATCCTAAAAATATGCATTTTCAAAAATCATAGGCGGATACAGATCATTGAGATTGGGGGTACACAAAAAGTATATATAGTAAATAAGGTTTTTGTTGGTACTGTTTCTAAATAGGGTGGCAATGGTCTTGTTATATTACAATTTTCTTATGAGAGAACGACTAAAATTGTATTGGTCATGCATAGGCGGTGTCAGGGCACCTATGTTGGGAGATAAAAAATAACCCCCCTTTTTGGACGCCTGGATCCGCCTATTATAGCAAAAACGTGTCAAAAGAGGATGCACAATAACTTTGTATATGTTATCACATGATACCTTTCATTCACTGTTCGTAAAACTGGTGCAGCATCGTGATCTTCGCCCAAATGACTCGCTTCACGAATAGGACCCCCTAATTCCCAGTGCTCTGGAGCCGCCCCTGGTAAAGTTATGAACTTGAAATTTTCAGGGAATGTGCCCAATTTAGTTTTAGGAAAAGTCAGAAAATTTCAGCATCGTAGCTTCAGCGGTTTCGGAGATATTCCCGAAAAACCTGAGGGGTGGATAAAAACAACCCCCCTGCCACTAATAGGGTTAAAACCCGCGCCGGGCCGGGAGGGGGGGGGTGTTTGAACACCCCCCCCCCTGCGGTTTTTCGCAGATATCTCAAAAACGGCGGCGCGGCGCCGCCGTTTTTGGCACACCTGTTCGCGCATCTTTTCCGCACATTTTGTGAAAATTTCAGACGCAGGTCACCTTAGGTCAGGTCACCAGGTCATGCCAAGTGACCTCACCTCAGAAAAAAATAAGAATGCTCGTCATAGCTACACGGATTGATCGATTGCCTTGAAACTTTCAGCGATTGATTAGAGCAACATTATCTATAAAATGTATATCTCGGAATTTTGATATCGGTGACCTAAGGTCAGGTCAATTTTGCGACCTCTCCATTATACCTAAGTCAATGGGAGAAAATTGAAAAGCGTCTGTTTTGCACGAACGCTATTCTAGACACTCTCAAACATCGAGATGTAGGTAAAATGGACACACTGAACCGGAAAATGGCAACTGTGACCCCTCGTTATGTCCCCGAGGTCATCTCAGGTCACGAACGGAATCTAACAGTTTTTCGCTAATAACTTCTGATAGAGACGTGCTAGAGCGCTGAAAACGCCTTAGATGTGTTCGGCTCGACGTTGTGGATCGACTGATATGCAACATGACCTTTTCTGGTCAGGTCATGACCTTGACCTGAGGTCAAATTTTCATTCGACGCGTCTCGACGAGAAAAACACGATGGTGGCAAAAGTAATGTCGTGGCTCTTTTGAGTCAAAAGTTATTGCCGAAAAAACGTTTTTCGTAAAAACGGCTATTTTTGGAGTTTTTGCCCTCTGGAGGCTAAACCGTTGACCTGAGGTCAAATCTGAGAACATTGCTCAGAAAGGTCTGTAAAAGGGCTATCGAATGCGCTTTTCTGCGGCGCTGTAGCTCTATCGGTTCCCGAGATAGCCGTTGGCAGTTTCCAAAATGTTGAAATAGTGGACATTTGACCTTTGGTGACCTCTGGTGACCTGATCTTTGACCTGACCCAAAAAATGACTGAAGTGTTTTCGTCCTTATTTTGGACGTTCTTTCGATTGTCGCTTACCGCGTGTCGCTACGTGGCCCAGGAGCCGAGTTAGAAGGGGGGGTTCAGACACCCCCCGGCCCGGCGCGGAATCTCAGAGCACCGGCCCGGCGCGGGTTAACTAGAAGTCCCCAAACCTTATCTATGCTTATCGTCTCCTTTTCCCTGTATGAAGAATTCCTTATCGCACGGCGGATCAGTTCCGCCGTGCGATGAGGAGCACAGCACGACAGGCATCTGCACACTGCCGGGCAGCTGACCGTCCCGACAGGGGCGCAAGGCGGCTGACCCCTCGGAGCGCGGCGGTGGCGTAGTGGACCGGCCGGCCGGCGCGGCGGCCAGTGAGGAATGCCGACCGTAAACAGACCACGGCCGCCAGTGCACAGTGGGGATTTTTCCGATCTAGCGCCTATTAATTCAAAAAATATTTTTTTTGGATTTTGGTTTATTTTTTGTGTCAGTAGGGCTAAGAAATGTCTGAATTTTTCACATATGGCATTGTTTTATCTGTATGTCCACAGCAAAACTAGGAAAAATGCGCCCAAAGTTCACACTCATGCGTGATTACTCAATGGGCTCAGCAAGGCCCGAAAGTATAGCTCAATTTCATTGTCCTGTCCTGTTGGTTTTAATCTTGCGAGGTCTTAAAGTCGCATATCGTCTGAAAGGCACCTTTATTAGGAATGGAATGGCAAACAGAAAGTATGCCACAA